GGAAATTCTAAGACAGACTTATTAAATCCACCCATTTCCTGCTGTGCAATTATACCTCTATCCCTCCAACCACTTTTCTTTCACAATGTCATGTGCCTTCTCCTTCCCGCCCCCAACCACTGAGTCAATCTGTTTACAAGGGTATTGTCTTCTCGTGGATCATGAGTAGTCTCTTGGGGGCTGCATCCCAGATACAAACTGACTTCCCCTCTCCCAGCAACCATCACTTTTCAGTTGTTTTTCAGCTAGGTTTGGAACTTCATAAGGCCCTGTTCTATCTGTCCTGGGATTTTTGATGACTTGATCTCATTCAAACTTGTGTATGCATCCCCAGCCAGCATGAATTCATGTGTGCAATATTGTTGTCATGCTCTACAAGTTCTGTTTTGCTACAGATGTCTACTTTCTCTGGGTCTTGCAGTTCCTAAGCACAAAGTGTAAGGGATGTGAAATAGATGTCTCATTTGAAACCAAGCACTCTACCAAGTCTGATACTCTCTGCATTTTGGTCAATTGGAATCTTTGTGTTAATTGCTGTCTATTGCATAAAAGAAGTTTCTCTAGTGAGTGTTGAGAGACATACTCATTCACAAATAATAAAGATAAGTCCTCAGGAGGCAGTTTAGTGTTATGTATATTTGGCTAAATAATAGTAATAAATTCTTCCCTGGGGCTTATCACCTTCCCAGTCAAGTGTTTCTGGTCTTTTTAAGGGAACCTGGGATGAGTTCAGTTTTGTGAATTGAACCTTAGATACAGATAGAAAGTGGTGGGTTAGTCCCATAACTTCCATGCCACTATTGAACCAGTGGTCAGATTTTACCAGGCCAGGTGTTATTTTAACTCACAGGATTTACAGCCAAGGGGGACTGTTAGTGTGTGTGTGTGTGTGTGTGTGTGTGTGTGTGTGTGTGTGTGTGTGTGTTTCATCCTCCAGTAGCATACATACCATCTTCCAGCTCTCTGAAATCTAGCCTATAGAGATGAAGTTTCTGCCAGCTTGATTTTTCCTTGTGCTATGATTTCAGTGTGTGGTGTCTTCATGCTATTGTGATCAAGTTCTAGAGGGCAATCAAAGATAATCACAGTAGTCTGTTGTATTTTGGGGGATCTTTATAACCCTTTGACAAACAATATGATACCCTATGCATGTACCAGCTTTTTTATTTGTTGTCTGGGATAGGCATTAACTTCAGGTAAATTATACTTATAGATGTATATAGCTATATTTTAAGAAGTTTCTAACACAGTTGGTTTCAGTAAGACTTTTTCAAAGGTCTTTAGTGTTAGTTATCCCTCTGCACACACTCCCTTCTCTACCCTGTCCTCTCTTCCCCACCTCATTTAGCCTCTCCTGTTCCATTATTTTCTTTTCTCTTTTTATATCACCTGTGATCTATCCCTTTCTCTTGATATCCCCTACATGTTCCCTTACCAGTTTCCTGATTTCTATGGGCATTCCAATTTAAACAAACATACTTAAGTTCCAAAGCATTCATATCTGATAGAGAACATACAATGTTGGCCATTCTGGGTCTGGTTCCCCTCAATCAGAATGTTTATTTCTAGCTGCAGTTCACTTGCAAATTTCTTAATTTCATTTTTTCTTTTTCTTTGTAGAGGAATTATATATATTGAGTTTTACTTTTCTATTAGTCAATTGATGTCCATCTAGGAAATTTCTATTTTCTGACTATTATGACTAGAGCAACAATGAACATGAATAGGCAAGTTACCTCTGTGTTAAAATTTAACATCCTAGCAAGGTAACTCAGTCACAAAAAAACAAACATGGGGGATGGGAGAGGGAGCTACAAGAAAGAGAAGGGGAGAACAGGAAGAGAAAGGAGGACATGAGGGAGCATGAAGCTTGAGACTGAGGAAGAATAGAAGAGAGCAAGAAGAGAGATACCTTAATAGAGGGAGCCATTATAAGTTTAAAGAGAAATCTGGCACTAGGGAAATGTCCCGATGTACAAGGATGACACTAACTAACAATCTAAGCAATAGTGAAGAGGCTACCTTAAATGCCCTTCCCCTATAATGAGATTGATGACTACCTTATATGTCATCCTGGAGCCTTCATCCAGGGAGTAGAAGCCGACACCACAGCTAAACACTAAACTGAACTCCTGGAATCCAGTTGCAGAGAGGGAGGAGTGATGAGCAGCAAAGGGGGTCAAGACCAGGTTGGTGAAACCCACAGAAACAGCTGACCTGAATCCAAGGGGGAGCTCATGGACCCCAGACTGATAGCTGGGAAACCAGCTTGGGATTGATACAGACCCCATGAATGTAGGTGTCAGTGAGGAGAGCTGGAAAATCTATGGGGCCCCTTATAATGCATCAGTTATTTATTCCTAGCACAGGAATGGAGTTTGGGAGCCCATTTCACATAGAGGGATACTCTCTCAGCCTAGACACATGGGGGAGGTCCTAGGCCCTGCTCCAAAGGATATGACAGACATTGAATATCCCCCACGGAAGGCCTCACCGTCCCAGGGGAGCAGAAAGGGAATGGGATAGGAAGTTAGTGGGGCACAGGGGAGGAGGGGAGGGAGAGGGAACTGGGATTGAAATGTAAAACAAGCTTGTTTCTAATTTAAATTTTAAAAAGAAAAATTAAAAAAATGTGAAAATACTAGCAAGAAATGAGGGTAAGCTAAGGCCAAGCATACAAAAGTAAAAAAAAAAAAAAAAAAAAAAAAAAAAAAAAAAAAAAAAACAGTCCATTGAATATATAAATATAAATACACAGACACACACAGAGACAGACAGACAGACAGACAGACACACACACACACACACACACTCATATACCAGGATTATTGCTGTAGCTGGATCTTATGGCAATCTATTTCTAATTGTTTTGTGGACCCTCTACACTAATTTCAATAGTGGCTTCAGTTTGTACTGAGTGTCCTCACTTTTCAATATCTTCAACAGCATGTTTTTAAAAAATGATGAACAATCTGACTACTGGGGTTAGATGAAATCTTAAATTTGTTTTAATTTTTATCTCCCTGATGGCTAAAGATGTTGGATATTTAAAAAAATATTCATCAGTTTTATTTTAGAAAAAAATCGTTCCATGTCCCACTTCTCAATTAGCTTTTTATTAACTTAATTAATTTTTTAAAATCTGTTAGACTATCTTTTTTATTTTATTAACTTTTATTGACTTTTTGTGGTTTTCACATCATACATCCCCCAACCCATCAGCCCTCCACCTTTGCAACCTCCCCACTAAAGCCAAGCAAAATTTAAAAGAAAAACCAAAAACCAACCAAACAAACAAACAAAACAAAGCAGAACAAGAAAGAAGCCATTAAAGAAAAAGAATCTCCCTGTGGATCCTGTGGTGTGGCTTGGTGAATAACACTCACATTTGTCCCTTTAGTCCTTTCATCTTCATTTGCAAGTGTTTATTGTAATGAGTCATCCATCTGGTTAGGGGCCTGTGTCCTAGGCCATACCATTGACAATGGGTTCTCACCAGGGATCTCTCCACCCCGACTTCCCACCTTTGTCCTGCATCATGGAGATCCTGGAGTTTTGGATCTTAATGTCTCCTTTTTATAGTTCTGGGTCTGCCAGCTTTCCCCCCATTACTACCCCTACCCTTACAAGCTCCCCAGTACTACCTCATCCTTCCCACCTATTGCAGGCTGTTCTGTTCTCAGGTCCAGTTCACTCACACTCACACCACCAGGGCTAGCTCCACCACTCTCTTGCCCAGGTGAGGTGCAGGGCCATCTGTCCCAATTGCTGTATGAGTCATAGGAGTTGTGTGGGAAAGAACAGTTCTCCTCTTCTCACACCCTCAGGGATGGCTCATCTATGCCCCTGACAACAGGATTCCCTCTACTGTGGTTCCCTGGTGAGCTGTGGCATCTGCAAGTGCTGCAGCTGAATTAAGACAGGACTAGTTCTCCCACTCTAGTCATCCTGGGGCCAGCTCTTTCACCTCACCCAGGGAGCAGGGGCTGGGGAAGGGTTATCTTTCCCTCACCCATGCTACCACATGGCAGACGAGGAAGGGTCAGCTCTCCTACTCTCAGGCCCTCAGGGTAGGCTTGCCTGAATCACTGCCAACAGGGTCAACTCTAATGTATTGCTCAGGAGGGATGCAAGGCCTGTTCTGCCTTGTGCTGCAGGCAGTGAGGGACTTGGAGAGTTCTCCACCTCTCTTGATCCCAGAGGCAAGTCTCTTACCCTCGGGTTAGCAAAAGTTTGGGGGGATTTATTTTTCATCTGGACTTCAGTTTCCCTGCATCCTTTCCTGCCATTCCCTCTCACCACTGACCCTCCACACCTCCCCCCACCATAATCCACTCTTCTTCAGTTTCTGTTCAGAAATTAGCAGTCCTTCTATGGGTGTCAACAAAGTATGACATATCATGTTGCCATAAGGCTAAACACCTCCCGAGTTTGGCCCCATCCAGGCTCCCTGGTTGTTTGTTCAGACTCTGTGAGTTCTATGAGCCCAAGTTAGTCGTTTCTTTGAGTTTTCTTGTGGTGTCCTTGTCCCCTTTTTTCTGCAATATATATTACAATTCATTTACTAATATATTTTGAATAATCAAATCCAAGTTTATTTCAGTTAGCACTACAAGAAAAAGCAAAATACAACCAATTTTAATTAGCCTTGTCACTTCTGTTTCACCAACAAGCAATTGCACATTACCAGGAAAATTACTGTTCCAATGCCACATTTACATTTTAAGATTTACCACTTTGTTTGAAAATAGCCAAACTCTTAGTCTTAAACATAAAAAACACCAATAACTATGTCAGGCACAATGGTAAGAAGCAGAGTATGAAGTAAGCTAAACCTTGAATAAAGGAACATTTGCAAAACAGCAAAGGAAAATAACATACTTTTCTCAACTCTTAGAGAACAATAAGATACACACTTTACTATTTCTAGCCTATAGTACATCCCATTACTGAGAAGACTGTCTCCTCTTCAGCACAGTGAAAACTGTATCTCAATCCAACTAAACCTTGGAGGACCTGTGACCCATGCACCTGCGATGAGCCCTGATATTCCTGACATCAGTGGCTTCAACAGCATTGCCAGGCACAGTTGTAAATCTCATTGCTGCTCTATTAGCCTCATCAAGCATAGCCTCTTCATACATACTAGGAAAGAAACTGGGGGAAGTATTATTGATCTTAGCTACAACTTCCAGGACTTTCATCTTGGTAGTTTCAGCATAAGCTCTGGGACCCCATCTGAACTCATAGCGTGGGGGGTCACTGCCAAGAACCTGGCGATATGTCACATAATTTTCCTCCACCAAATCTTTGGTTATAAACTTTCCGGGCTCCCCAAAGATTACATGACTCTTCCCAGGATATATCCCTACCACTTTCAGGAATTCCCAAACATCTTCCTCAGTGGCACGGTTCCCCTTCATGAAAATCACACCCAGGAGGGTCATCAGGAGCCCTGTCTTGGGCAACCCACTGCTGCCACTCAGACTTCCCTCAGTGGAGAGACCCAGCTTGCCCACAAGCATATATGACTGAGAACTGGGATCAACCTCTTTTAACTCAAGGCCAAAGACCAACTCCAAGCGCACAGAAATTCTCCTGAGGATCTCAGTGAAGTGCACCTTGTACTTCTTGTTGATCACCCTCAGCATATCTGCCTGTGTGAAGGGCTTTTTTGCCTTAAATTTCTCCAGCATGAACTCTATCAATACATTTGCCTTCCTGGTCAGAGGATCTCTGCGTGCAGACTGAATGGCGGCTGCTATCTTGACAGCACGTGCACTTCTTTCTTCATCCTCTGCAGCATACGCCTCAGCATCAGCGTCACTTCTCTCCTCAGCACCTGCAACAGAACCCTCAGCACCTGCAACAGAACCCTCAACACCAGCATCAGAACCCTCAGCACCAGCATCAGAACCCTCAGCACCAGCATCATAGCCTGAGCATGACACATCTAACTCAGGAGAATCGTGGGATGAAGCCTCCTGGGACCCCTGAGGAGTGCACACATCATGGGAGCTGGGGGCATCTCCCTGGCCAACAGGAGGCGATGCTGCTTCCTCCTCTGCAGTGGGCTGAGTATCCTGGGGATTCTTGCTCTCTCCATGGGTCTGGTGCCTTTTGGCCCTGGAGCGGCCCTTGCTCTTGTTGCCCCTAGGCATGATGAGTTGTCTCAGGGACAGCAGGCAGGAGTGCTGAAAAAATCTGGAGGGAATAGAATAACACTGTAAGTGGTATATGAATGCTCCGTCTGCTACTTTTCTAAGGGCATCTATTTGGGTGCTCATAGTGCTCTGTTTGTCCTGGTCAATCCACTTCCTAAGAAACCTGTAGAGGAAATCAGAGTCTGTGATCCCACTGCATTGCACCCCAGGTTATATCTTCCTAGTGAGAGAAACGTGTTTTCACTAGAGCCCCATTTGATAAATATCAGGATGCTCTTTGTTTACATGCAGAACCCTCGTGCACATTTTTAACTATGTCTGGGTCTCCACTTTCCACTGCCTCTCTAAACTTAACACTACAATCTTCGCTAGTAACATACAGGAAAAAATTAATGCAAGCTTTACCGCTGATATCTGACGCCATTCAGCAGATACTAAATATGCCTATGCTTTTGTGAAATCCCCATTTCTTTCCCAGATCTCTTCACTGTGAACATCCTAAAATACTCTCCATAATTCTTCCACTTTGCTGTTTTCCAAGGACAAAGTGAGGTAGCATCGCAGACTTTAGGCCTGTCTGACGCACCTAAGCCACCATCAAAGGGAACGATTCTGTGTATCCGTTCCTCCATAAAGCATGGGACAATCTTCCCGATTTTCATGACTGGCCTCCCGCCATATAAATCCGTAACTCATATATTTTCTCTTTTGTTCTTTCGTTCTCCAGCCTCTGAATGAGACCTTCACTCTCTGAGAAACGCGCGGAACGTGACCTGTATCTTGGCCTAACCACCATGTCCAGAACTCTGGAAACCCGAGCCAAAGAAGGCCTGTGTAGCTGGCTTCCTTTTCGTGGGCAAGGGTGGGCTATGATTAGATGATTCAAATAGGTTCCTGATTGTCCTAGTTTTGACGTAGAAAATTCCCCCCAAACACTCTAAAATACCAGCGTAGATTCTTTTACCTGACCGGAGGCACGTACACCAAGCTGACCAACGCTGTACACTGACTGGAGAGTTAACCGGAAGTTAGGGTCCTCCACTTCCGAGTCCCTGTCCCCTCTGCACCTTGTTCTCTGAATAGAACCCCATAGGAGGAACTGTTCTTGTCATTGTTTTGCTCTGGGAGAATGAAGTCCCCAGATAACACATCGGTTCATGTTGACTTTGCCTGTGAGGCTGGGCTGTCTTGACATGAGCCAGGTCTCCAGACAAAAATCTTATGTACACCAGAATCCTGAGAAGAAAATAAAAAGGAGCAATTTGGATTATAGGATCTTTGTTCATGACTTAACCATAAAGCATGGAAAGGGCTCGGTGTTGCCTATGTTACAGGGTTCTTAGAACCCTGAATACTTACTGTGATTCATCACCCTCTCACACTCATGCACTCCCCTAGGCAGCTATTTACCCCCTTGTCTCTCAATTCTCCTTTCTCCTCCTTGGTCTTTCCCCTCTCCTTCCCTTTCTCTTCCTCTCCTCTTTCCCCACTCTCTTTTCTCAACCTTCACCTCTTTCCCTCTACTCTTTTATCTTGGATTATTGTCTGTGTATCTCACATTGTCGTAGAACTAATGATCTCTTGTGACTTTTCCTCCTCAGTGTCCCTATATACCATCATTCCTGGTATCTTTCATTTTTTCCTGATTGGAGATTATATCTTTTGTTGTTTGTGGGGAACAACAACTTACTGTGTAGTGCAGGCTGCCCTGGAAACCTCATGATGTAGCTTAGAGTGACCTAGCATTAAAAATCCAACTGATTGTTTCCTGAATGCTGGAATTACAGACCTGTGCCACCTGGCTAGAAATAAATTAATTCTTATCTTGATTATTTCACCCACATGTCTGTTCATAACCATCAGTTTTTCCAGTCCCAGTTGATCTAACGGACTTTTCTGACTTTGCGGGGCACTGCACACACATGGTACAAAGACACATATACAGGAAAATCACTCTTACACAAAGAATAATTTTAAAAATTAAGAATTTAAGGTAATTAATGTTTTATAATCATTTCTCCTAGATGAATGAACTATATATTTCTTGAAAACTCATTTTACAGTCTACCAGTAAGTTTTTATAGATATCTCTCAAGTGTGTACCTTTATGTTTGGCTTTCTTTTAAGTATATTTTATTTAACTAAGCTTCTGACATTCCTAAAGGAAACATCTTATGGCAGATTTCTAAATAATAGTATGAAATTGTTTTTGGAACCAATTGTGAGTATATATTCATTTTAGTATTATCATAAAATATTAATTATACAAATAATGAACTTCATTTTGATGTTCTTATACATGAGTGTAATGTATTTTAATCATATCTATCCCCTTGCACTCTCCTTGGATTTTTCATAGTATTACTTTCTTTTCAATTCCTTTATTGTGTTCACTGTTCTCCCTGAGAGAAAATATATTGTACTTATATTTTGAGTCTAATTTATTTTGGTTCACATGTTGATATCCTGCAGATTGTATAAACAACTTCTTGATTGATGAATAAAACAACATATTACATTCATAAAAATGTGAGACAGATAAGTTTTTATTTTTAACAGCTTTATTTACATAAAAGTCTACTATACTATTCAAATAGAAAAAATACACAACTGAGTATTTTACCAAGTATAAAGATATTGTTTTTACTAAACATAAAGACATATATTCACACCAATGTCAATTTTAAGGTATTTAACCAACCCCTTATGAAAATCATTAGCAGCCATGCATTTTCCCCTAGTTTACTCCTAAGCAATCAGTATTCTTCTCTAACTTTTACAGATTTACCTGCTCTGGACATTTTTCACAAAAAAATGAGCCTTACAATATATGGGTTTTTTCATGACTATATCTATTCACTTAGCATACTGCTCTCGACATTTATTCACATGGTACTAAGTATGAATCTAAAGAATGTGTGCTCCATTAGGGAAAGAGTGTGATTTTTCTTCTAAAAGCCCACCATAGAATATTTTGATTTTTTTCATTCCTTTTTTTGATGGGCACACAAGTTGCTTCTTTGTAGGAACTTCATTGTAGGAAGTGCAATGACAAAGAAGATTAATATTATTTATTAATAAGCTTACTTTGATTGATTTGTGTATATACTCATTCTTGGTATACCTGAAATAATTCCTATCTCTATAGAAAGATTTTCAGAAAATGCTATTCTGATTTCCATAGGGACTAGACTGATTTTCAATACCACCATCAGTGCATGATATTTTTCTTTTTACCAGAATTTGTTATTTTTAGTTCCATGATAATAGATATTCTGTCTAGGGTGAAATAAACTCAAATTTTAATGTTGATCTGCCTTTTCTAAATGACATAAATTATAGGACATTTTTATTGCAATTTACAACTCTTTCTTGAGGGTATACTCAATTTAGCCTATTTATTTATTGTGTTATTTATTACTTATTTTTCCCTTTGGGGGAAATTTATTATTTGCTCTTTGGGGGTTGTTTTCCTGACTTCTTATGCATTTGACATTTTAATCCCCTTTCAGATACATAAATAACTGGCAAATGTTTTCTCCCATTTTGTGTTCTTCTCAGCCTTGTAATTTTTCCTTTATTAGAATAATTTTTGTATCTTATGATCCTCCCATGTTAATGCATGCCATTATTTCCACAGATTTTAGGATTTTTTCCCAGAAATCTGTCTCCAATACCTATTTCTTTAATCACTTTTGCTAAAATTTTCTCTAGCAATTACAAGGTGTAATGTGTTACTTAAGGTCACCGACCTATTTGAAGTTGATTTTCACACAATGTGTGAAATAAGGATTTAGTTTCAGTATCCTACATGTGAATATCCAGATTTCCCAGCACCAGTTTTGGTTTTTCCTCAGACAATGTTTCTCTGTGAAACAATCCTGGCTCTCCTGAAACTCACTTTGTAGACCAGGCTGCCCTTGAATTCACAGAGATCTGCCTGCCTCTGACTGCCAAGTGTTGTTAAAGGCCTGCACCAACGCTCAGCCCAGCACCAGTTTTTAAAAACATTTTGTTCTCCAATATATGTTTTCAAAAATTCTGTAAAGAATCACAAGGCATATCAATTCTTTTATTTAAACAATTAGATCATAGTGACATTCATTACTTTCGGGGTTTTTTTATTTTACTTTATTCTCATCCTTTAGAGGAATGAAAAATACACTTTTTTCTTTTTTGTACAAGCTAGTTTTACAGTCAATCCCAGTTCCCTCTCCCTCTCCTCCTCCCCTGCTCCCCACTAACTCACTATCGCATCCCCTTTCTGCTCCCCAGGGAGGGTGAGGCCTTCCATGGGGAAATCTTAAAAGTCTGTCATAGCATTTGGGGCAGGGCCTAGGGCCTCCCCCATGTGTCTAGGATGAGATAGTGTCCCTCTATGTGAAATTGACTACCAAAGTCCATTCCTATGCTAGGGATAAATACTGGTCTACTACCAGAGCCACCATAGATTGCCCAGGCCTCTTCACATTCCAGGGTCTTTCCGAGTTATTAGTCTGGGGTCCATGAGCTCCCCTTGCTCAGGACAGCTATTTCTGTGGGTATTACCAACCTGTTCTTGACCCCTTTGCTCATCATGCCTCCCTCTCTGCAACTGGATTCCAGGAGTTCAGTTCATTGTTTAGCTGTGGGTGTCTGCTTCTGCTTCCATCAGTTACTGGATGATGGCTCTAGGATGGCATATAAGGTAGTCATCAGTCTCATAATCAGGAGAGGGCATTGGAGGCAGCCTCTCAACTATTGCTTAGATTGTAAGTTAGTGTCATCCTTGTAGATCTCTGGACATTTACCTAGTGACCAATTTCTCTTTAAACCTATAATGGCTCTCTCTATTACAGTATCTCTTATGTTGCTCTCATCTATTTTCCCCCCAACTCAAGCTTCCTGCTCACTCATGTCCTCCTGTCTCCTCCTCTTCTCCCCTTCTCTTTTTCCTAGTTCCCTCTCCTCTCCCCCATGCTTCAATTTGCTCAGGAGAGCTTGTCCCTTTCCCCTTT